GACTTCTTTCCAAGTCCACATCCAGAGCAGCTGACTGTCTCCTTCCAAAGTGTTTCCTCTCAGGGCCCACCCACAGATAACCTCCAGGACTTTTCTAAGGGACCACTGACGTGGTTTCTGACCTCTTCGCTTACCCTCTGCCTCTAGAGTTTTGCACAGAAACCTCTGAGCTTCTGTTCTATCCCCAAATTGTTTCCATCTCAGGTCACTTCCTGGTGTTCTACCCACACAGGTCAGGTATTCTCCCAGAGGTGGAAAGACACACCAACAAACAGACATCACAATTCTCTGCTCCAGCTCCCCTTTATGAGAAGGGACTCGTCAATATTTAAGACTTGGGGGACAATCGGGACTTATCTTTGCCATAGGAAAGCAGAATGCAGTGAGTTCAGATTTTTTTTTAAATCAGCACCCACCATCCATCTTGTTGATGGGGCTCTGGACAAGCTTTATATCTTCCCTAAAAGGATTTTCCTGGACTTTATATTTTACAGTCTCAGAAGGACTTTCCATATCCAGATAGCCCTCAAGTAGGGCACATGTAGCTGATCTTCACAAATGACCCTTCTCTGCTTCGTTATCAGTACACACAAGCTCTGGTCATATATGTGTTTACATGGGATCAGTATTTCCTTCTCTTTTTTAAAAAAATTAAACCACTTTTAATTGGTATATAAAAATTGTACATATTTATAGCATACCATGTGATTTAAACAAATTTACTTGTGTTAACTTATTTGAAGTGGAAAGAGAGAGCGAGTACAGAGATAGAGGAAGATTTTCCATCTGGTTCGCTCCCCAAATGCTTGTAACAGCCATGCTAGGGCAGGAAGCCAGGAGATTGGAACTCAGTCCAGGTCTCCCGTGGGGGTGACAGAGACCCCAGCTCCTTGGGCCATCACAGAGCACATAGGGTGTGCACTGGTAGGGAACTGGAGTATGAGGCAGAGTTGGGCCTTGGACCCAGGCAATCCCATATGGGATGAGGGCTTCCCAAGCAGGGTCTCAGCTGCTGCACCAATGAAATGCCCATCCTCCAGGTGACTGTTCTAAAAAGGGTTTACTTCGTTATTTAAAAGGCTGAGTGACAGAGAGAAGGAGACACAAAGAGAATCAGACAAGCAAAACTGGCATCCCCATCGGCCAATTTACCTCCCAAATGAACTTCCCAAGGGGCTGCAACCAGCATCCAGAGCTGCCATGTAGGAGTCGGGTGCCAAACACCTGACCCATCTCCTGCTGCTTTGCCAGGCACATGGGCAGGGAGCTGGATTATCAGTGGAGCCACCAGGACTCTCGAGTCAGCACACCACTGTGGGACGCTGGCATCACAAGCTGTGACTTAACACACTATGCCACAATGCCTGGCCTCCACCTCCATGTGATGTTTTGAGATATGTATACTTTGCATAATGTTCAAATCAGGATAAGCATGTACTTCCTCAAACATTAATTATTTCTTTACGGAGAAAGAATCCAAAACTCTTGTGTTTGAATTATATGAACATATCTGGTACCTCGTCATCCTCTGTAGCCACTCTCCCATGTAATGGAATACCAGAAGGGCCTGTGTTTTATAACAGTATTAGCGTCATAGTTTTTGCCATAGCCACACTCCTGTACCTTCATTGACCTACTGTTCTTTAAACATGAAAAAAAAATTCTTTAAAATTTGAACAAAATGTTAACAAAATTGCATACGTTTCTGCTACAGAAAACTGGCATCGCTTGTAAGATGGAAAGTTACCGGCAAAGAATATAACAAAATATACAGTGCTATTCCGTTCAGAGATGGGCAAGAGACTGCAGAGATGTGGGAGTGATGCCTGGCTCATTCTTCCTTATAGACGGAGATTGGTGAGGGATAAGCAGGCGTCAACACAGCAAACCAGCAGCATCCTGGTATCGTCAGGGGCTTGTGAACGTTAGAGAGGGCAAGTCTTTCTCAGTGCACAGTCCTGCATCATGCATTTCTGAGGCTTTTGACCACCTAGGTCAGTGGGGGTGGCCTCCTTCCACTTGAGGAAGCTGTAACTCCACTGTAGTTGGTCATTTGTTTTTTTCTGTCTCTGATAAGTGGAGAGGCTCTTGAGGCCAACAGCTTCCTCTTGGTGCTTCAGCATCATACACAGTGCTTGAATGTAGCTGCTATTACCAAAGGGATAAGGTAGTAGCTAGTGATGGGAGTCTGTCTCAGGTACAAACGATGTTGCTAAGAGGAAGGTGGGGAAGAGAATACAGGGAAGCCTGGGCCTTGAAAGGAGCTTGGTGGAGATAACCACGGCAGGAAGGCTGTAGGCTTTGGACTACCTCCAGCGGCACAAAGAGGTTGCTAGATGTATACTTTGTTGACACTGTGGTAGGGCCAAGATCCTGTGTTCCAGAATGACACCTCCAGGATCATCTCTGACTCCCAATTATGTGAACTTAACCAAATCATTTTTCTTGAGGGACTATACTTACCTCCCTTAAAAAGGGAGGTACACACTTTTAGGATGGCAGCCACATTTTTAGGATGGCAGCCACATCTCAAGAGACTAGACAAAAAAGGTTTTGCTATCAGAAGATACCATGTGTGTGTGTGTGTGTGTGTGCGTGCACGCATGTCCACCTATATCACCAGTTCTGATCAAGTTTGAAATTACTATGACTGTTCTTGTGATTTTTTGGCAGTAGAATTCCCAATCCTCGCCATGGTTACTCGCACTCTGTAAACACTCAGTACGTATTTTTTGCTTGAAAGGGTGGCACTGACCTACAATCCTTCTATAAGGAAGCTGAATCCTCTGCTTGTCTTGCCTTGGTCTAAGCTCTCACTATTTGCCTTGAAGTTCTTTGGGTATTGAAGATTTATTCCTTGGTTCATTGAGCTTCTGTTAGGGTCTAGACCCCATGGATAGTCCTGCAGTGGGCAAGATGGGAGGAGTTTGGTCAACTAGACCCAGTCACAGCTTCCAAGGATGTTAGAGAAGCAAGAACATGTGTTATTTGTTCACTTTGTGCTTATCTTTGGGTGAGGTTTGTAGATGGAGGCATTTTCTCGTGTTTTGACAACACCTGTACACACAGGCAGCAATACTTTGATCCAGTCATTTGAGCTGGGAAAAGACGTTCGAAGCTATACAGTGGTTTCCTGGGAACTGGATATACAAATGCCATATGTTAGAGTTCTCACTGTTTGTGACAACTAGGAAGCAATAATACTTGCCTCTAATCCTCCTAGGATGCTCTTGCTAGGGCCCAGCCTTTCTGTAGATGAGATCAATGATCAGGAATGAGAGAGCTAGGAAAGCACATGGAAAACAACTCTTGGCTAAATCTCCCAGAAAGGCAACTGACAGCAGAGCAAGCTGGCTTATTTTTACTGAGTGTGGGCTGCACTTTATATATCTGTTATCTATATATAAAGAATGGCTGCAAAAAAACTCTGACTCTGGCATAATTGTGAGTCACCAGACCCCATCATGAGAGAGAGAGAGAGAGAGAGAGAGAGAGAGAGAGAGAGAAAAGAGAGAGAGAACAAGAACTTTGGGCACAAAGCATGTTTGTGCTTGTTAAAATGTGCTTGGAATGTGTGTAGGACAGTTTGTGCTTTTTATATCAGGAAAGTGTATATGGAGGAGGAAGAGTGTGTGTGTGTGTGTGTGTGTGTGTGTGTGTGTGTGTGTGTGTGTGTGTGTGAGCAGTGCAGGTGGTGCCCTGAATCACATGAGCAGTGATCTCTCAGACACCCAGGCGATGTCTTGGTTATGAAGTGTTGTTGGAAGTGATTGTTTCCAGACCAGCAGACAGGTCTTTGAGGAGCCCTTGACTTTCTCCTTCCTCCTTGTCTTGTTAAAAATGGATTAGAGTCCAATTAAGCCACTTAATCCCAAGGTAGAAATTCATGTTTAAAAACAAGATTTATAGCGTCAAAAAAAAAAAAAAAACCCCACAGCAGTGCAAGTTGAGGTTTATTCTTTCAAGTTGGCACCTGCACAGTTCCGAAGAGTGTTTTCAACTGAATACCCAACATGCAGTTCTCCCTAATAACTTTGCCTCAGACCTCCACTCCTTCCTCTTGTAAAGTACCCTTCACCCAGAATAGGCACATGCTGTTCCAAGGACTCCAGCTTCTCCGTGACCACAAGTGCCGTGTGCTTTCTCTCTCTTCAACTGGCAACCCAGTGACTGAGGCTAATAATAGTAATACTTTTATGAACTGACACATATCGGGTGCTTCATACGGGCTGGGCATCCCCGTGCTAAGCACTTTTCTCATCAGATGCTGTGTCTGGCTTTATGCGGGGGTGGGTGCCACATGTAGTCATCCAGAGCCTTCCCCTGGATGTAATGGCCTGCCATTGCCATCTCGGCATTCTTAAATGTTTTTAGGCAGCGGACTTGCATTTGTTCTTTTGTGCTGGGCCCCCAGCTTGCATCACTAATCGTGACGACATTGAATAGAGTCGTCATTTCTCTTTGTTTCTTTTGCTCCTTGCATGCACTGCTCAATTCCTTCTCTAAGGACAAATGGTAATGCAAAACTGTCTGCAAAATGGTCATGGTCTCCTGGAAGGGAAGTTCTCTATGGGGTAGGAGTCCAGCTTGGAGGGCTTGGAGGGTTAAGGTGCACAAACGGGACCCCTCACCCCATCAGCCACTTCTGGCTGGTTGGGGTGGGGGGCGTGGCCTAGCCTGGCTGCTTTGGGATGGGAAGCATGTAGTACTTATCTCTGTGAGGAATCAGACAAGTTGTTCAACTCCTTTAAAGGCCTCAGTTTCCCCATCTATAAAATGAGGGTCACAGTAGATAAACCCAACTGCTCATTCAAAGATATAATAAAGTCATATATACACACACAGCTCTGATGCGCAATGCACGTGACATTAGTTTTCATTAATGTTTGATGGATGCCCAGCAAATACTACATATCCAGTTTTGCTTGTGACACAGTGCACATCACTTGCCTACCTGCAAGGCACTCTTATTCCTCTTATTCCAGCAGCTGATCTCCTACCTGTCCCATAGAGCCGGGAGTGAAGTCCACCTTCTCCAAGTGCTGGGTGGTCACAGAGGGGTTGCTGGAGCTGATAAGCACTGGGGTGCTGATCTCTACCATCTGGCGCCCAGGTGGGGAATGGACCATCCGGTTGAGAGTATTCAAGGCTGTCGTGATGGAGAACTGCCCAGGCCCCTTCCTCCTGGACCCTGGTCCCCTGCGGAGAGTGGGTGTGCTGGTTGGTTTGCCTCTGAAGGATGAGGACACCAGCGACAGGCTTTTGTTGCGCGATGACTGGTGGCCTTTGCTCTTCTCCAGCAGGTGCCTTGCAGTGAGGTTTGGCTGAAAAGACAAAAGGGTGGTGGAGAGGTGAGTGTCTGCCGTATGCTGTGAGTAGCTGAGTCCCCACCTGCCCTGACGCTTTGGTGGTCCCTGAACACCACTCTGAGTTGGGCACTCCCCTTCCTAGGGCTCCGGCAGGCTACCTGTTTCCCACCCCACACCATCATTTCCCCCATTGGTCTATTCTCCATCTGGCAGCAGGGGCTGAATCTACGCTATTCTCTCTTGTGCCACAGAGTGGAGGCACAGTGAGCATTTGTGGACTGTGAATACATGTGGCTGTTTGGGGAGTGAGCCAGCGGATGGAAGATCTCTGTCTTTTTCTCTCTCTGTAACTCTGCTTTTCAAGTAAATTTAAAATGTAAAAATAAATTTCCCAAGAAGAAGGTGATAATTGACATGAGGGTAAGGAGAGCGTGACAGGCAGGGACTGTAAGCCAGGGGTAAGGTCCTGAAGGGGGAAAGTGCTTAGATGGAAAAAAAAAAAAAGAAAGAAAACAGCAACCAAGAAACAAAGGTGGGAACAGGGCAGGTGATCAGAATGTCAAAAAAGAGAAAGACATGAAGTTAGGCAGGGTTTAGATCCCCGAGGACTCAGGGACTCTTCTCTAGCTTATGAGGAAATATTTGGTAGCATTTACATAGAGGAGTGATCTGATACAATATCTGCTTTTAAAAGGTCATCTCATAGTTTGGTAGTTTCTTAGCATTTGATCAGAAATCCTAGATAATTATGAAATGAAGACTACACTCAGAAATGTAATTACTTATAGAAGCTTCCTCCGCAGCCGCCACCAAACAGAAACATCTGGTGTGTTTCAGTTGGCGAGCCGATGAAGAAATTTTGATATACCTCTACTGGAGAATACTACTCAGCAGTGAAAAGGGATGAACTATTGATACACAAAACAGCACAGTGAAAATCCCAACTGCATTGCATGAAATGAAAGAAGCCACATCTTGGCTTCTATTCGTGTAGTTTCATCTGTGTGATTTTCTGGACAAAGAAAACCTCAGGGAGAGCAAACAGATTAATTTCTAGGGGTTGGGAGTCTAACTGGAAAGGAGCAGTGTGAGGATTTTGTGGGGAGCTTGGTGGCTATTTGGTATCTCGACTGTAGTACAGGTATAGAGTTGTATGTGTTTGTCACAACTTGTAAAACCAGACACCCAAAAGAATAAATATCACTAAAGATAAATTTCAAAAAAATTTAAAAAGCTCATTTGGCTGTTCCTCAGACTTGTGACTGTAGAACTAGGGACATCAGTTAGGAACTCATCGGAGTTGTTTAGGTCAGCTCTGATGACAGCCTGGCAAGGAGCAGTGCCTTCTGTTCCCCGCTGCACCTGTCCTGCAGCTGTGCGTCCAACAAGAGGATGACAGGCTTTGAATTGGATGAGAAGGCTCTTCATGGCCCCTTAATTATCACAAAATAAGTTATTTATTTATTTATTTTGGTTTTTACCTAACTGTTCAGTCTCCAGGTGAGCTCTGCTGTCATATTTTCAATCAGCAACATGCACAAAGGGCCCCCAAGGGGTTGTTTCTGCCCTGTCCTCTGCCAGCATGATGAATAGCTTCTTTGGAGAAGGGACTGCTGGTCTCTTAGATTTGCATTCTTTTGAAACAATTAGCCATGAGGTTCGCTGGGCTGGGTTAGGCTCAGATAACCCAGGCAGGCCTTATTGGAGACGTTCTGACAAGAACAGGCATAAACCCAGCGCTTGTTGGACCACCTTTTCATGCAGGTGCAACTCAGTAAATCAAGTGATACATTAAGAGGAAAAATTCTTGCGTATGCCAAAAAGCCACGTCACTCTTGTAAGAAAGCATTCCTAAATTCCAATTGCTTTGCATGGCAGTGGTAATTCACAGCTTATTTAAAGAGTTCTCAGCAAGCGCTAGCCTTAATGAAATGACTGAAGTCAAAATGTAAGTGCTGCTTTCAAAAGCTCAATTCAGATTTTAAGTAATTTTTGAAAACCAGGTTCCCAGATTAGAGCAACCACTTGATTATCTCCTTCCCCTCTCCTAGCAATTAGGAGAACAAATGAAGCAATGGCTAGTTTGATGGGGGTTGAGGGTTCTTGTAATCACTCACTTTGGAGGTGAGGAGTTAGGGAGAGTATACAAATGAGTAAACATTAAATGCGGTTTTGAAAAAATGGGTCTCAGAAAAGGGTAATAAAATGAGTGGGTGCCTTTCCCTACCGTGGCTACTCTGTAGATGCATGCCAGTGCAGAGGAGCGTGAAAATGTTTAAGCATCTCCTGTGGGTCCCACTGCATGTTAACTGCAGCCAACCTCTGTCCTGGGTGACTTAACCATTGCTTCCCTAGCATTGTAACTGAGCTTCCTCAGCAAACTTTACTTAACCTCGCAAATGGCAAATGAGTCCACCACTTCCCTAATCAGAAGGTGCTCTCTGCATTCTCTCCTCTGCAATCCCTAAGTCCTGTGGATTTGACCTCTTTTATTTTCAATGTTTATTTTATTTATTAGAAAGGCTTAGCTACACAGAGAGTGGTCTTCCATCTGCTGGTTTATTCCAAATGGCCATAGCAGCTGGGGCTGGGCCAGGTCGAAACCAGGAGCCACAAGCTTCCTGTGGGTCTCCTTCATGGAGTGCAGGGTCCCACGAACTTAGGCCATCTTCCACTGCTTCCCCAGGTTCATTAGTAGGAAGCTAGATCAAAAGTGGAGCAGCGGTGACTTGAGGCTGGCGTCCATGTAGGATGTTGGCATCGCAGACAGCACTGTACCCTGTCAGGCCACAGTGCTGGATTTGGATTTTACCTTCCGAAAGGTACTTGAACCTGTCTACTTGCTTCCAGTTTACTGGTCTAAGCTACAGTCACTTCCTAATTGAGCCAGACTTCATAGCTGGTCTTTCTCATTTTCCTTTTTTTTTTTTTTCCTCTTGCCCTGTCTAAATTATCCTGTTTTGCAGTGAGAACAGGATTTATAAAACCAATCACGATCAAGTCATTATCTCACTTAGAACCCTCCAGTAGCTTCTACTGAATTGGGAACAAATCAGCTTTTTATGGCATGGTAAGAACAACATATAGAAATACTTGGCGTGTTTCTATATATTTCTCTGAGGACTTCAAGTTAAGTGAGGCCATATATGTGACTGTCTCAAGTCAGTGGGATCTGCGTGGGAATGACATGTATCACTTATGGGCTAAGGCATGTTATTGCCAGTACACGACTCATTCATTTATTCTTCCACTAAGAAAGGCCATGTGTTCTTAGTGGTGCAGTGACAAGATGGTCCAGCATTACTAGTTTGGGTTTCTGGGTGACCACGTGGGTAGAGCCTCTCGTTCTGCTGTACTGGACATGGAAATACCACTTTCTTTCACTCTGTATAATTGATCTCACTTACAATACCTCAGTAGTGTCCAACCTTATAGTCTGTGGCGCTAGAAACTGTATTTGTTTTATATCTTTGGAACTCATCACAGGACCAAACACAGCAGACATTCCATGAAAAAGTATCTGAATGATATGTTTTAAGAGAGGGTCACATTGAATGGTCTCCTCCCTGTATTATTTTCCTCATAACTCTGACCACCTTCCAAATACATTTTCATTCATTCACTTGCTCAGACATCTTTTAAAAAAGGAACACCTACTCTGTGTTACCCTAGCGTGGGAATTGTGACTGACACACCGTCTGGTATTCAGACAGGAAAGAGACCACTGAGGCTCCAACCACTTTCTGACATTTTACCAAGAATGTCAATTTTTATCTGAGCCTTAGAACAGATTGAGAGAATTGGATAGGAATTCCTGGAAAGGGTCCCAGCGAATGAAAAAGCATTAGGAATGGCATGTTGTTTAGGGGAGGTGCTGAGAAGACCAGCCTCTCTGGGTCTCTCTCTTATCGCCCCTTTGTGCAGCTCGGCATTGATTGAGCAGAAGGGCTACAGAGACCCCTGAGAGCTGGACGGTGCTCTGGGCGCACCATTCATTTTATAACCGGCTTTGGCTCCTGTGAATGATAGCATTGATCTCTTTCTCCCAATTCTGCCTCTATTCTGTTTTCATGTTCCCTCTCCCGCAGGGCAGAGAACACACCTTCCACTTCCCTCATAGCTCTCTACCATTCACTTTTAAAGGCTTTATGCATGCTAAGCACCTAATAAATGCAGTCAAACAATGAAGCCTCTGGTTTAAATTTGTAATGATTTGCTGCCTGCTAGGCTAAGGTACAGAGCTAATGATGGTGAGGGCTGACAGTTTATAATACTACTCTGGAGAAATAGAGAGCCTAGTAGGATTTCTTCGAAAAAAGCAAGTAAACAAATCGCAAAACAAATATATACTCGTATGATGCAGAAAATGCAAATTGGTTGAATTAAAAAAATGGACCGTCAGCATCTAGTGATCTGTCAAAATTTGGTGTGTATCTCATGCTTTATCCGTTTATAAACACACATGCACATGTATAGTTAGCCTCATTTAGATCAACTTATTATTTTTATTGGCTAGAAAACACATATAAGATTTGCCCTATTAATCCTTTTTAAGGTAACAGTTCACTATTGCTAAGTTCAGTGACGTTGTTAAGAAACAGATTTTTATAACTTCTTTTTCATAAAGTGGAACTTCATATTCACGAATGTTTTCTCACCTGACAATAAATCATTGATTTTTCTATAATACCAAATACTCCACAATACAAATATTGTTCTCTAACAGTGTTTGCAGTGGGTATAGTCTTTTCCATCACCATAGTTTTTGAAAATCAAATCCTAATTTTTTTTTCTCAGGATGACTTCTTATTTTTCACCATTAGACACAATACCATGGTGAATATTTTTGCATCTCTTGCACATATGTGTTTGCATATTTGTTGAATTTGAAGATGTGGAGCTGCTGAGCCCTAGGAGGTGTATGTTTCTGAGATTGTTGATACAAATTTGCATTTCCATGTGAAAAGATCTCATCAGTTTGCACAACTGTCAGCCGTATGGCAAGGGCCTATTTCCTCACACTTGCCAAAATCAGAAATTACTGCGTATGGTATAGTCTTAGGATACTTTAACTTAGGTAGGTCTAAAACAAGCCTCATAAAACATACAGTTTGCCATCAGGTGTCCTGGGGAGTCGGGTCACCTGACTCCCCTGCTTGGGTCAGCTGCAGATTGGAGATCCACGTACCTCCACAAACAGGATAGGGAAGATGCCCACTTTATCTCCCAGCTTGCCTTCAGCCCAGTTCTCATCCACTCGGCTGATCACAGTGATGATGTCGTCCTGGAACGGAAAGTCTCCCGGTCAGCATTTCCTCTCAGTTTTCAGGTCACAAAAGCTTTCCATAGCGGTCAGATTGGAGTCCCACATGACATAAGGTGCATGCTTGTGGCTCTTGCATGATTTACTGAACAACACTTCCTGCTAAACTGAACTCTCTCTGTAAAGGGCTGAATGCAGGTCCCCAAGACAATAAGGGGCATAGAAATAATTTGGAATATCAATGACATCCAACAGAAAAGCTTGGATATATTTCTTGTTTTCAATCACTTGCAGTGCCCAAGGTTTTCATTGAAGTTAATCTGTAACCAAAAAGCATAGAGTCTGGCATTGAATGGCGGTAGATTAAGCTTCATGCTACAGCAGCATCCCACGTGGGTGTTGGTTCAAGTCCCAGGTGCTCCATTTCTGGTTCACCTCCTGATAATGTACCTAGAAAAGCGGCAACCGATGGTCCCAGTACTTGGGCTGCTGGCCCCCTGTGAGAAGCCCAGATGAAGCTCCTGGCTGCTGGCTTTTGCTTAGTACAGTCCCAGCTGTTGCAGCCATCTGGGGAATGAACCATTGGATGGAAGATCTCTCTCTGCCTATATCCTTTTTGTAATTTTGCCTTTCAAATAAATATAAACAAGTCTTAAATCAAGGATAAATTATGTGCCTGTTTTGAAAGCTTTTTAGAATCTATTCAATTTTTACTGTATCAAAAAGTAGCTTTTACTTAAATTTTTCTTTTTACTGAAGGTTTTATGTAGATGTGCAGAAATACTGTTTAAAAGATTTTAAAAGAATTTTATTTAATTTTATCTGAGTTGCAGAGAGAGAAGGAGAGACAGAAAGATGTTCTGTCCGCTGGTTCACTGTCCAAATGACCAGCAGTGGCTGGAGCTGGGCCTGTTCAAGGCCGGGGATGAGGAGTTTCCTCCCAGTTTGCCACTAAATGCTGGGCTCAAGTACTTGAGTACCACAAATACCAAGTGCTTGGGCCATCCTCTGATGCTTCCTCAGGCTGTTAGCAGGGAGTGGGATCAGAGGTGGAGCAGCTGGGACTCGAACTGGCACCCATAAGGAATGCTGTCATTGCAGGTAGAAGTTTAGCTCCCTAAGCCATGGTTTGGCTCCCAAAATGTTTGAAAATACAAATAAGCAAAGCAAGAGAAATTTTCTGCAACATTAGAGATACAACTACTGTTAATAGCTAAGTTGATACATGACCCAGATTCTTCTATATGAAGATAAGACATATAAACATGCTTCTTTCAAAAAAACTTTACAAAAGCACGCATGTGCATGGTGAAGAGCAAGCATTTAGGTGTAATGCTTGAGCAATTTTAAAATCTGCATATATCAATCCAGAATGTTTCTTTCTTCTGTTTTTTAAGCTTTATTTTTATTGGAAAGGCAGATTTACAGAGATGAGGTGAGACAGAGGGAAAGCTCTTCCGTCTCTGGCTCACTTTCCAAATGTCCACAACAGCCTAGAAGTGAGCTGATCTGAAGCCATTAGTCAGAGCCTCTTCCAGGTCTCCCACATGAGTGCAGAGTCCCAAGGCCTTAGGCCATCCTCTACTGCTTTCCCAGGCTATAAGCAGCAAGCTAGAGGGGAAGTGGAGCAGCCAGGACATGGACTGGTGCCTGTATGGGTCCTGGCTGTGGCAGGTGGAGGATTAGCTAATGGAGCCACTACAGTGGGCTTAAACACATTCCTCACACACAGAAGGCTCCCCTGTGCCCTCTTCTTCAGCTATGGAAACCCACTCTTTGCACTTTCAGAGCTGGAAAAGATTTATCTTGTTAGGCGTCCCTTTGAGCAAGGTCTACAGGACACACTGGGTTTTTTAGTTTTTTTCATACATCAGGAATACCCTTCATTTCCGTACAGGTTCATCAGTCTAAGCCCATGAACCAATTCACTGAAGATCTCTCAATCTGCTTGGGCATCTGTTCACGCACATCTAGATGTCCTCATTGCGCACTGCCACTGCACATCTGTAAGCTTTTCATCAGTGCTAGTCCCTCCTGTCAGTCCACTTCGAACACTGAGTGGACAGGAGCAGGGTTTGTTGTGGTCATCTCTGTTGTCCTGGCACTTAACAAAGCAGTTCCCCTTAGGCTGTGTTAGTAAATGTTTCTGGGATATATGCATGCGTAAGTGAATGCATGAATGTGTGAATAAATGGCACAGCTTAGTGAGACAACACTAAGAAAAGAGCAGCGGTGAGAGAGGAACTCTTGAGTTTAACTTGCATGTGTTTGATTCATGAAGGGAAGGCCATGAAATTTCCTAGTGTATTCTCAGCCATCCCTAGCCCTCCAGAATGGACCCAGCCCTCACTTGCTTTTTTGCCACAATTTATCAATTCTGTATCTGCTTTCTGTGCTGGATAATTGGCTCCTCAAAGACAGGCAGTGGGCCCAGCGCAGTAGCCTAGTGGTTAAATCCTCACCTTGCATCTGCCAGGATCTTATATGGGCTTGTGTCCTGGCAGCCCTGTTTTCCATCCAGCTCCCTGCTTGTGGCCTGGGAAAGCAGTGGAGGACGACCCAAAGCCTTGGGACCTTGCATCCGCGTGGGAGACCCGGAGTTTGGTTTCTGGCTTGGCTCCAGGCTCCTGGCTTCCTGCTAATGCAGATCTTGGGCAGCGATGAGGTTCCTGCCACCCAGACAGAGACCTTGACTCTGGTCCTGGTTCTTGCTTCAGCCCCTCCAGTTCTAGAAGGTGTCAGGACTATGAACCAGGACATGGAGCTCTGTCTCCTCTCTCCACCTCTCAGAATACGTAAGGTGAATATGTGTGGAAATGAACTGACCTTCCTTTCCATGTCATCTAAGCACAAACTTCCCTTAGGAGTCTCTCTCTCTCTCTCTCTCTCTCTCTCTGAAGTGCTAAGTCAGCAATAAAACTATTCTTTCAAAATCTGGAAGAGGCTGAGGTTATATAGTTACGGAAAATCTGAGGTAAATCTCATTTCTGGTAGTGGTTTAATAAAAAGATTCTGCAAAATGAAAGACTTCCTGAGCAGTGGTGCTGCCGTTTTTAGTACTCAAATTTCATCTACTCATCACAAGTACTAAAGAATGAAACAGTTTCCACTTTAATGCTAAAGAGAGTCAGGGGCCCGGTGTGATAGCTCATTTGGCTAAACTTCCTCATGCAAGTGCTGGGATTTCATATGGGCACCAGTTTGTATCCAGGCTGCTCCACTTCCCTTCCAGCTCCCTGCTCAATGGCCTGACAAATCAGTGGAAGATGGTCCAAAGCCCTGGGATTCTGCATCCACATGGGAGACGTAGAAAAAACTCTTGGCTTCTGGCTGCAGATCAGCTCAGCTCTGGCCGTTGTAGCCATTTGGAGAGTGAACCAGTGGGTGGAAGATCTTTCTCTCCTTCTCTCTGCAAATCTGCCTTTCCAATAAAAATAAAGAAATCTTTTTTAAAAAAGATTATTTATGCATAAGAAGTCTGATCATCCCATCGTGTTAGCTTGAAGTGTTTAAAATGCTATGGTAATAACAAAGCAGGATGCTGTAGATGAGTAGAAGTAACTGACTGCAATGAAGTCATCAAACATGCCCATACCAGTCATGTGGCAAAAGCGGTAGGAGCTGTGGTTTTGAATAGCAGGTTATTCAAATATGTCTTTATTTTCTGTCCACATATCTCCTATTGCTGTGTGAGGACACTAACAGTGGCTTGTTAACGTTCAGTCCCCACTGTCTGCAAGGAATAAGTGCTCTGAAGTGACCGTAGAATGAACGAATGGATGATTTTTTTTGTAATTGCAGTAGAAAGCCTTAAGAATTTCTAGGAAACTCTTACTACATTTTTCTAGAGATTTTTACTTCTATGTATAGTTTGAAATATATACATGTTATAAACATGTAGTCCTGTGTGCTCCCTAATGACTTCATTGGTCACCCCGTCTCTTACCTTGAGGAAGGTCAGGCAGTCTTGGTTCTCGCTCTTGCCCTTGGTTCGTAGATCAAAGTTGTAAAGGGCCCTGCAGAGCGGTGGAGGCTGGGGCAGCTGCTTGATGACTTCCACAGCGCTGGCTGGGAAGATCCCACTGGCCCCGCCGATCTCCCCCTGCAGCCAGTTCTCGTCGAGCTGTCTGCGGAGAAGGATGACGTCTCCCTTGGTGAAGCTCAGGTCGCCAGGACTCTGTCCTCTGTAGCTGCACAAGGCTTTTGCTCGAGGTACCTGCAGCGACACAAGGCAGTGATTGGCTTAGAGACTAGGGGAGCAGGTCTGCTGTTCATGACTCATGTGCAAGCACTGCCGATGTGCTGTGTATGAATTGATGGTACATGCAGGCACCATCTCTTTTAAGCTAGCCAGCACCTTTTAAATGTGGACAAGAATTGTATTTATTGAATCTTTACTTTGAAGGGAGAGAGAAAAAGTGAACACACACATGCATGCACACACTTCCATTTGCTGGTTCATGAACGCAACATAGATGGATGCTGGGCCAGGCTGAATCCAAAAGTCTGGGAATGGCGGAGAGCCAACCAACCACTTAAGCCAACAATCATTGCCTCTGGGGTAAACATGAAGGTGAAGTTGGAGTACGAAATGGGAGCTGGAACGTAACATGGACACTCTAGTAATGGGACGTGAGAGTCCCAACAGACGACTTAGTTTCTATACCACATGCCCACCTTGGAGGTAGGCATTCATTATCCCCTGTTTATAAAATAGGATGACTGAGACAGAATGGTTCAATAACATGTGTAAGGTGGCACACCTGGAAAATGGCAGATAAGGGCAATGGGAAAAGGAGACCTTTCAGTATACCTGATCCTAGAACCTTGGCCTGTTTTTTTTTTCTTTTTTTAAGAATTAGTATTTTACAATTAGGTTTAATTTTAATTTTTAAGCACTTTCGATATGATTTGTAGGTATAGTTTTTTTTTTAAAGATTTATTTTATTTTTATTGGAAAGTTAGATATACAGAGAGGAGGAATGACAGAGAGGAAGATCTTTAATCTGCTGATTCACTCCCCATGTGGCCACCATGGCCAGAGTGGAGCCCATCTGAAGCCAGGAGCCTGAAACCTCTTCTGGGTCACCCATTTGCATGCAGAGTCCCAAGATTTCGGCCGCCCTTGACTGCCTTGTCAGGCCATAAGCAGGGAGCTGGAAGGCAAGTGGGGCTGCTGGGATTGGAACCAATGCCCATATGGGATCCCAGTGCGCACAAGGCAAGGACTTTAATCACTAGGCTGTCATGCCAGGTCATTTAGGTACAATTCTAAGAAAATAACAATATTCCCTTCTTTCCCTTCTATCTTTCTCCATTTTGTTTTTTTCCCCAGCTTTTGAGATAACATATTTGAAATTTACATTGTAGTACAATGGCCTAACACTTTGCTGAATAAAAAGTGTAGCAAGTAAAAAGAGTTAACAAGAAGACTTTTGTGAGAATATAGACAATGGCTATAAAGTTTCACAAACTGTATTTGCAGCGATACTGACTTGGGTATTTTTTTTTTCTTTAGTTTTTAGCTGCCACATATAAGGGAGAACATGAGGTACTTGTCTTTCTGCATAGATCCTTGTAACTAATGACTGTGATGTGGTCTGGGCTTTGGGCTTAATTCCACCACTCTGAGCTTGAATGAGTTGGTGACTCTCTGTAAATCCCGATTTTGAGTTCTGGCTGAACCTCTTTCCAGTGGTGGGGCCATGGTCATGTGTTAAATGGGGTATTGCTAGGATGCTGACTTCACTGGTTGTTGTGAGGATAAAGAGTATCCACAGTGTTTATTTAACGTCTTGCCTAGCAGAGAATGTGTTCAATAGCTGGCATCCGTTCTCATCATTGCTTCGTAATGCAAGGCTACCGGTACTGGTTCTTGCTACTCCTCAGTGTTGGTAGAAAGAAAACAAAGTGTTAGAAGAGAGAGTGATGCAACTTAATTGGTCTTCTGCCTTCTCCAGAAATCGTAAATCTCATGAGTGTCTGGATCATTAGGAAGCTCAACCGAGACAAAGAAACAATTAGTCAGAAACCAATCATCAGGTTTTTTTTTTTTAAATCAGTGTATAAATCATCATTTGTCAAATCAGCTGCTTGTCTAAATAATTATTTCAGTCAAATTCATTATATTTTTTCAAAACGAAACTGGTTCTTGCACACGGAAATGGCCTCATCCTGGCCTTGCTTTACATTGACATGGTAAACCCAAACTTTCAATAACTTCAGGTGAATAGAAAGCCCTTTCGTCACTTGGAGTCCTATCTTATTTTCTGCTTTTCTGGCAGTGGGGTGAAGCTGTCCCCTCTCGCAGTGGCACTCTTAAGGCTCATTCGTGAAGCAGTAATTGAAACCACTGGAGATCTTCAGACTCTACACTAGCGATGGGTAAGGGAAATTCCAGGCAGGCAGCTTGGGGTGGAGACAGGATCGACCGCCCCTTTTCTGACGGGCTGCACAGCTGTGGACACAGTAGGGAAGGCTTGGAGACTAGAAAAACCACAGAATACAAGCTCAGCCCCAGGAAACTGCTGTACAAACGAGCAAAGACATGTGTTCTAGACAGATTAACACGAAAGTAAGTAGGGTTTGGTTGAATACATTAGGATACATCCATACAATGAAAACCTCAGTGCTCATTAAATTTGATGGTGCTGCTCTGTAATTAATAGCGCCAAATGTTACTCGTAGTGTTAAGTATAATAGGAGAAGATGAAATAGTTTTGTAGGCTACATTTTTCCCTTATGAATGCACTCACAGAAACACACGTAATTTTTAACCTGGGAAATTGAGAGCCGTAACTCAACATGAAGAATGATTGTTTCTAAGTATGAAGATATTTGAGTATTGAAAAAAAATTTTTCCCCTTAAATATTTGTCATGGGGGGGGTCATTTTTACTTTTTTTTTAAGATATATTTTTTGAAAAAATTTTTGCCACATTGACTGCATACGCAGACTTTTCATTCTCCTTTCCTTTACCCTGCTTTGTGGAAGGCAGACAGAAACGGCAGGGCTCTGGCTGCCATCATCCAGAATAACGAGGCAGAGCACTGCATGCAGATAGGGAGGGAAAAGGCCTGGGCTGCACAGCCGTCCCTGCCACCCTGCACGGACAAGTCCACCCCCAGACTGTTTTCTGAAACCGAAACACACTTCCACTTTGCTGAACGTATTATTCTTTTGGAGTTACTTAAAGAAAAGGGAACAAAGGAAGAATGAAAATATAAAGAAGAATGTAAATACCTTTGGCTTTTCACCATAAGAATCCTATGATCAGGGCCCGGTGCGAGGGCCTTGTGGCTAAAAGTCCTCACCTTGAGCACACTGGGATCCCATATGGGTGCTGGTTCTAATCCCGACACCTCCACTTCCCATCCAGCTCCCTGCTTGTGGCCTGGGAAAGCAGTTGAGGACAGCCCAAAGCCTCCAGACCCTGCACCTTTGTGGGAGATCCGGAAGAAGCTCCAGGCTCCTGGCTTCGGATCAGCACAACATCGGCCGTTGTGCTCACTTGGGGAGTGAATCATTGGACGGAAGATCTTCCTCTCTGTCTCTCCTTTCTGTATATATCTGACTTGCGATAAAAACAAATAAATCTTTAAAATCCTATCAGTAGCTAATCTTCACTAAGCACTTTCCTATGTGCTGTGTGAAGTACATTTTACTGAATTCTCACAGCGACCTTGTGTTATTTCTAACATAGTGGTGTGGTTAGAAAAGCGAGAATCAAAGAAGTTGAAAGTTGCTCAAATCCACCAAAAGCTGGGTGATGAGTGTAAGATGTGACTTCAGGTCCACCTGCCAAGCCCACACTCTTAACCAGTATTTCCCAAAAGAAAATCTGTGGTGTCCCTATACCAGAATCTTGGGAGATATTCAGGTACAGACTCTTGAGCCCTGTCCATAGACTATTTCTTTGATCAGCATCTCTTGGAGCAGGATTCACATAGCTGCATCTTCATTAAGCAGTTTCATTAGCCAAGTTTGATGCTACTGATCTGGCTTTATCTTATCCTACTGCAAATGGGGACAAAAGAGTTTTGAAAATTGTCAATCTGCTTTCTTTTTTTTTTTTTTTTCCTTTCTGGAAGATATTTCCAGTCCAAGTGGTTCACATATTGCAGTGATTACTAGGAGAGGACATCCATCTATAATTACATAGAACGTGTAGGCGGCTTTGAAAATGGCTGTGCCTTGAAATGCCGGCCATTCCCATCTTTTCTTCATAATAAGTAAATATTGTAGAAGTGACTTACTAATTCTATTTTTTACTTGAAGACTCTCTTGGGCTTTCTCTTCCTTTTGGATAATCCCTCCCCTGGAACTCTGGTTTCTGCAGCTCTGGTGTTAAAGACATGGGCTCTCGCAGTGTGAAGTGGGATAGAGGGAGTCGGGCACAGAGGGGGTGCTGTGACAGGGAGGAAGGGAGGCAGCAAGTTCAAGGCTCTGAGAAGGGAACAGAATTGACATTTACTCAGATTCTGGCAGTGATTTTTTCTGCATTATTGCCCTACTGCACTTTTTAATGGGATTTCTCATTCCTAGTATCTGAGCATCCTAGGAAGTAGGTAGTGTCACCCTATTTTATCGATGAGGAAATATCTGTTCTGACATGGTAAATGTTACCAGACCAGGTCACACAGCCAAGTGCATGGCAGGTGCAGGACTGACTGAGGCTCATTCGACCATGAAGCCCTGGTGTTTCTGCCACTCTCATTATCTTCTGGCAGGTTCTATCTTCTGGTAGGTTCCAACTTCATAAAACTCATCTGGGGGCTTTGTTTTGGTAATCAAGTTTGGAAAAACTGAATGTGGCGTGCTTGCTCTCGGCTATTTTAGCACGAATTACTGAACTCAGGGCCCACATTTAAAAGTTAAGCACTGGAAGAGATCCAGCTGGTCGATTCTATGCAGTCCTCCACATATCTAGCAAAAACAAGTCCTGGTTCCGCCTCAGGTTTTACCCATTGTATTGTCAGCAACAGCTTTATCATCAACAATTCCTTTCTGTCTCAACAGGAGCAGGGGGGAGGGTGTCAAGGTTAATAGTCAGGTCATTTTCAAATTATTTTTCCTAGCATCTTTCACAAAGGCAGATATTCCAACTCAATGTTTATGTGTGCTGCCCAAACTTTGCTTTTCTGGGATTCAAAGAACTGACAACTTGTATGCTCTAGTAATATGACTAGTTCTATTTTTTCTCCAAAGAGCCTGGAA